AGGCAGATTTCAGAAAAAAACTTGGAAAGATTTGTACAAACTGATGTAAAGTAAAATGAGCAGAACCAGGAAAACATTGTATGCAGTATCAGCAATGTTGTGTGATACCAACTATGAATGACTTAGCTCTTCTCAGCAACACAATAATCCAAGACAAGTACAAAGGACTCATGGAGGAAAATGCTATCTGCATCCAGATAAAGAACTGATGGACTCTCAATGCAGATCAAAGCATATTTTTTCACTTACTTCATTCTTTTTATGTGGTTTATTTCCTTTTGATCTTTTTCTTCTTTTAGAACTGTGACTAATTCAGAAATATGTTTTATATGATAGCATATGCATAACCTATGTGAAATTGCCTACCATTCGGAAGACAAGAGGAGAAAATTTTGAAACTCGAAATCCTGTAAAAATTAATGCTAAAAATTATCTTGGGATAGCAAAGAGTCCCTGAAAAGATGAGATACATAACATCTTTAAGACCAAAAGGGCCACCAAAGGTGGGAGGAATCTAACTCAACTTCACTATGAAAAGAAACTTCTGAGGCAGGAATGCCAAGTTAGATCTTTCCACCAAGGGATTATGGGTTAGAAATGACTCCCATCCAGTGTCCTTCTAATCAGCACATTTCATCTTGAATCTCAGATGTCTTCCAGAAACATCTTCCCTAGGGTCAGCAGTTAAATGGACTCCTGTTTAGTGAATTTGCTTTTCTGGTTCAATGTCACTTGTAGTTCCTTGGATGTTCTTGCTAAAATCTTTTACAAAACAGATCTCAACACAATTTAGTACAACCTCTTAAACATTACTTTTCCAATAGCATGGTCATGCAGTGACAACTAGTTTAAATCTTGTGGTTCTAATCTTATTAACAATAGATCCAGAAGAAAAACATTAACTTGGGGACCCATAGTTAACTTAAAACTTTAGAGAATTTTAGTTCTTAAATATCCTTTGCTGTTTCTATCATTTGCTAAATCCTGTACTTGATATAAATATTGTCGTCAACAGACTGAAGAACCTTAAAAATCTATAAGAATCTGACTTGAATATGAGTCCTTTCAGTGGGCCCAGAGTTTCCCAGGGTTTGTCAGATTCTTTCTTTAAAAGCTCTTTATTGGTTATAATTTTTATTGTGCTGTTCTCAATAAAGGATTCTTAATATTTCTGCTTTTCTGCATTGGTTTGGAGGTTACCATGTCCTGGTACATAGTCAATTTTTGCAAAAGTGTCTTGCATACTAAAATATACGTGTGTTTGCAGATATATTTACACATACATATAAACACCTATGTATATATATATACACACATTTGTACATATATACGCATATACTTGCATATATAAATCTATGTATATACTTAGATATCTGTGTGTATGTATTTATTTATATTGCTCCAGAAGTCTTAGTGCAGTTTAAAACTGCACTATTTCAGTTTCTGTTCAGTGATTGCCAGAGTTCTATAGTATCTAACTTTTAAAACAACCTATTTAAGTCTTTAACTTTCCTATTTATTTTTTGTTACATTAGTCTCTAGGCCTTCAAAAGGGACATTGAAGTTCCTAACTATTATTGTTTTAATTGTTTTGCTGTCTATTTCTCCTTGTATTAGATTAACTTTTTCTTTAGGCATTTAAATTCTATGCCTTCAGTGTATACATATATGTGTGTATGTGTGTGTGTCTATATGTATGTGTGTGTGTATATATATATATGCACACACATGCACACACACACATACGCATATATATACATATACATATATACAATCTATATTGACTCATTATCTATGGTCCCTTTGAGAATAATGTAATATTCCTACTCTTTTCCTTTTACCTGCATCTGTGTTTACATTGCTTTGCCTGAGATTGTAATTATCACCCTCTGCTTTAAAAATTTTACTCGATGCGTAATAAATCCCTCATTTAAAAAAATAAAAATTGTCTTGATGTGTAACTGGGGAAAAATATTATTAAAAGTTTTGAGTTCCAAATTCTATCTCTCTCTCCCTTTCTTCCCTCCCCCCTCCCTGAGATAGTAAGCATTCAGATATAGGTGATATAGGTTATACACATGCAATTATGTAAATCATTTTCATATTAGTCATTTTGTACAAGAAGATTAAAATAAAACAAAAAGAATGGAAGAAAATTAAAAATAGCACACTTCAATCTGTATTCAAACAATATCAGTTCTTTCTCTGGAGGTGGAAAGTATGCTTCATCATTAAATTTTTGGGATTGTCTTGGTTCATTATATTGCTGAGAACAGCTAAGTCATTCACAGTTCTTCATCCTACAATATTGCTGTTACTGTGTCAAATGTTCTCCTGGTTCTTCTCACTTCACTCTGCATCAGTTTATGGAAGTCTTTCCAAGTTTTTCTGAAATTGTCCTGCTTGTCATTTCTTATAGCACAATAATATTCCATTATAATCATACACTACAGCTTGTTTAGCCATTCTTTAATTGAGAAGCATCCCTTCAATTTCTAATTCTTTGCCACCACAAAAAAGCTGCTATAAACATTTTTGTACAAATAGATCCTTTTCTCTTTTTTATGTCTTTGAGATATAGAACTAGCAGTCATATTGCTAGTATGCACAGTTTGTTTGCCCTTCGGGCATAGTTCCAAATTGTTCTCCAGAATGGTTAGATCAGTTCACAACTCCACCAACAGAGCATTAGTGTCTCAGTTTTCCCACATCCTCGCCAATATTTATCATTTTCCTTTTTTGTCATATTAACCAATCTGATAGGTGTGAGGTGAGACCTCAGACAGAGTTGGGTTAACTTGCATTTTTCTAATCAATAGTGATTTAAAGCATTTTATATGCCTAGAGATAGCTTTGATTTCTCCATCTGAAAACTACCTGTTCATATTCTTTTACCATTTAACAATTGGAGAATGACTTGTATTTTTATACATTTGACTCAGTTCTCTACATATTTGAGAAATGAGGCCTTTATCAGGGACTTGTTGCAAATTTTTTTCACACTTTTCTGCTTTCCTTATAATTTTGGTTGCATTAGTTTTATTTGTGAAAAACCTTTTTCATTTTATATCATTAAAATTATCCATTTTACATTTTGTGATGCTCTCTATATTTTCCTTAGTCCTAAATTCTTTACTTATCCATAGATGTAACAGATAAACTATTCATACTTTCCTAATTTGCTTATGGTATCACCCTTTAGGTATAGATTATGTACCCATTTTGACCTTATCTTGGTTTATGGTGTGTCTTTATTTAATTTTAACACAATTACTTATTAATATAAGGCAAAATGTAAGTAGGACCATAGGAAAGGTACAAGCAAAGTGCTATGGAAACATAGAGGAAGGAAAATCATTTTTAATCTGAAAGGCCTGAGGAGACATCATAGAGGAGGTATCACTTAAAGTAAGTCTTAAAGAAAAGGATCTAGGGAATATTATGAACTACAGAATGCAAGTGCTTGAAGAAATCATAGAATCATAGAACCTGTTATGGTCAGAGTTGTACGTAATCTTCCAAATCTAATCCTACCCCCTTATTTAAAGCAAACCAAAGGAAATGCCTGCTCAAGTTATGTCTCCTGATTCTAAATATCATATATTTCTTCTATATCATTTTTGGGTTCAGGGGAAAAGTAAGTTTCTGATGAATTCTAATAATGGCTTGTAGTCTGGTTTGACTGAAACAATAAGACTTGGATAGTACTCCTGATTTCAACCCAATTCATCCTTAGGCCATCTTCTCAACAGCACCCAAGAAAGATTTGCTGCTGGGACCAGAAACCATACTCTAGATGTTCTAACTCTTTTGTGTCCAGAACTTCCGTCCTGGGGCCCTACTGTCTTAATTGGTGACCACATCATCTGGTCCATTACTTCAGGCAAACCTCAACCATGCTTCAATTCACTCCCTGTTCCCAGGTGCTCTTCTCACAAGCTTTGGTAACAGTTTGTGGTTCCCCCACTCTTCAGTTAACACACTCTTCAGTTCTGCAGCTATGTGATCAAACCAACTCTGCCATTTCTTCCTGGAAAGGTTGTTTCAGTATACCCCCTTACTGCTCTACTCACTATATTGCCAATTTTCCCTGACTCCTCCCCGGGCACCACCCCTCTATTTGTGCAGCCTCCTCCAATTAGAAGGTAAGCTACTTGAAACCAGAGACCATATTTCTTTGCCTTTGTATTTTATCCTTAACTTTAGCACAGTGCTTAGCATACATTAATATTTATTAATGCACTAATAAGTGCTTTTTAATTCATTCATTCATAAAGGGCTTCCTATGTCCAGGGGCAGCTAGATGGTACAATGGATAGAATGCTGGGCCTGGAGTGAGGAGGACCTACATTCAAATCCAGCCTCAGACACTTGCTAGCTGTGTGAGCCTAGGCAAGTCACTTAACCTTTGTTTGCCTCAGTTTCCTCAGCTGTAAAATGGGGACTCTGGAGAAGGAAATGGCAAATCACTCCAGTGTCTTTGCCAAGAAAATCCCATAAAAATGGGGACATCGAGTTGGAAAGGACTAAATGACCTGAGAGCAAGACAGCATAAGTGCTGGAGATGATTGTGGCAGTGCCAGTCCTCATGAAACATACACCATAGTAGGGGGCAATAAGATCCACATGCAAGTAACATTACAAAGTGTTACATAAGAACTAGGAAGGAAAAAAGCTCATTTCTCGAATATGGAACACAATGAATTTTATAGTAATCCTAGCGGGCAGGTAGGAAAGTGAGAGAAAGCAGAAAGGTAATTTGGAGTCAGACTGTCAAGAGCTTTGATTTTACTTCTCTATAAATGGGAATGTGTTATCAGTTACCTAAAGTATCGTCTCTTTTGCCCTAAGACCTATTTGGTTTTCTGGCCTGGAACTAGAAACACTTGGCGGGGCCATGGGGGCGTGGAGGGCTGCTCATAGGGCATCCGGGAGACTTCAAAGAAGGACAGCAGAGCTGGGCTGGGCTGAGTCTGTCTTTTGGCCAGGGCCAAGCCGGAGGCTGGGGCTGAACAGCTCTGTAGGAGGCGGTCACATGGTAGGGCGGGAGCCAGCCCGCCTTCTCCAGGACTACCCCCAGCCTCATATCTGCCAGGCCAACAGCCTCGCTGCCCAGAGCCCAAGAGGTGTACGGGTCCCCCATACCAACCCCACTAAGCTGCGGGGACTGGTGAGACAGCTGCCATCGCTAGGCGCAAGAGCCAAGTCAGCCACCACCTCCTACTCCTCCCCTCCCGACCCCAGCAGCTGGAGCTGCAGCAGCAGCAGCGGTGACAGTAGCAGCAGCAACAGCAGCGAAGGCAGCAGCGAAGGCGGCGGCGGCGGCGAAAACAGAGAAGGCAGCAGCCACAGCAGGAGCAGCCACACCATGGACCTTTCATTTATGGCCGCCCAGGTAATAGGATACTCTCCGAACCCCGAAAGTGGGACATTCGCACAGATCCCGGAGCCCCCTTTCACGCCCGTCTCCTCCCTATTTTCGCAGCATCTAAAGGAACAAGTTTTAGTGTGCTGTTCCCCTTTCTTCCTGTCCCCTCCCCCCTCCCCCGACTGAGTGGGCATCAAAGCTTTTCAAAGAAACCGCCCTTATCCAAATCCCCAAACCTGTCTAGCTTATCACTTCAGTCCTAACTCCTCTGTCCAGAGATGGGATTTGAGACAGTCAACAGAGCGCTGGGAGCCTCAGTCTGGGTCCAGGACCTTTACTCCTTCCTTTTCTTTGTTCTCTCTTCCTCTCATCAGAAGAGAGGCCAAAGATGGGGGAGTAAGATCAGAGCAGAGAGGTTCCGGGCTATGAGAGTGGTCAGGTATGGGCTACTGTGGGGAATGTGGGGGTGACCATTGGGCCTACAACTGTGCATATCTGTGCCTCCCTTTCCTGACCACCTCAAAATGGACTACAAATAACAGCGACAAAGAAATAGAAAGAGGCACCTGGGGCTCTGTATTTGCACCCATCCAGAAGGGGTCTCTGGTTAGGGAACAAGATTAAGTTTTGGAGAAGAGGGGAAAGGGTGAGGACTTCTGTGAGTTAAAAAAAGGATCCTCAATCTTTTTGTGTCCTGGACTCCTTTGATAGTCTGATGAAGTCTGTGGAGCCCTTCTTAATGTTCTTAAATGTTGTAAAATAGAGTACATGGGATTATAAGAGGGGCCAAATATGTTAAAATGCAGGGTTTTTTTAAGTTCGGGGACCCCAGATTAAGAACTCCTGAGTTAAAGCCATGATTCATACACATAGATCTTCATTTCTCAACACTCTTCTCATTCCCTAGAGTCAGAGAAATCATTCTATCTTCACTTTCCCCATCTGCCAACCATGAGTAATAATGCATGCCCTGACCCACAGGGTTATAGCAAAGATGAAGTGAATGTGAAAACCAGCGCAAACCGAACAAACTCTCTATACTCGTGAGGTAATATGCTAATAAAAGAGAACCAGCAAGGGAAAAATAGGTGAGATATATGGGCATCCACTCTTGTATCTCCTTTTCTTTCAATGAGTAAGCAGAGCCTTCAAGTGTCTAGTGTGGCCTTTGGTCCCTGGGTGAGCTTACAAAAATACAGTCACAATGGCAAAAGCCTCTGTTGTAAATATCATTAACTGGCAGCTCTTTGTTCCCCTAGCCTCCTGGAGTCAGGCGTCTCCAGTTTTGTTTCATGCGGTCATGCCTTTCTGCGCTCTGTGCATGTTGTTTCATCAGAGTCTTCTTGGTCTAGAGTGTATTTGCACGGTGTCTTTAAAGAGGGAGAAGGCAAGGCAGGCTCCTTCTGCTTTGATTTGTTTCTGTACAATCCAAAGTGAAAATATTCCAGCCTCACCCTTACCACCACCTCTCAGAGGAAAGGCAGTGGGTATCTCCCTGTTATTTGAAAGATTAATTATTTAACTAGGGGAGCAGGGAAATCTGCTCAGAGACTTATGAGCAGAAAGGAAAGACAACCTTTCCTTTTTCATTTTGACAGTTGGCTTAACTGATGAGAGGCTTCCTTTTCCACAAATGATCTTAAAAACTAGTAATACTGGGGAAATCATGGTGCCTTCTCCACAAGGTATTTTTCTCATATAATGTTCTGAGCATAATAGGCACTTGATAAATGTTTTTAATTGAATTAGCTCTATCATATCATATTTTTCTGAATAGAATTGGAAGAATTTTTAAGGCAGAGATCATGCTGAATATTTCTTTGTATCCATATTCCTCAGTGTCATTTGCATAGTAAGAACTTTCAGTATTCTAACAATTAATGGTTTCTCTGTATGGGCACTTCCTCCACTAACAAAGATCACAACACCTCTATGGCTTGGTAGATTGTCTTTGACAGATGCTTCGGTGAAAAAAAAATTATCACCCAGTGGTCAACTTTTTACTGATGAGCCTGCCTATGTGCACTTAGGCTCTTCTTCCTTGGAAATGATCCCATCATTCAATAATAATAATGATAATGGCTAGCATTTATGTAGAGCTTTAGGGTTTGCAAAGTGCTTTACAAATATTTCGTTTTATCCTCACAACAACGTTGGAAGCTAAGTGCTGTCGTTATCCCCATTTTACTGATAAGGAAACTGAAGCCCAAAGAGTGGAAATGATGTGCACAAAGTCATATTAGGAAGTAAGTATTAGGGTCAGGATTCAAACCTAGGTCCAAATCTAGTGCTTTTCCTACCCAAAACATGTGTGGGTATGCCTTTTCTGTTAGGAGAAAACTGAAATAAATGAAGGGACTTACTCAATATCATACAGCTGGTTAGAATCAATGGCCTGTTCCATTTGGAATGTTAAGCAATTTTTAAATTGTCTCTCTAGCAATAAACGAAGTTGGTTGAAACAAATATGGGGGGGGGGAGATCACCTAATTGTTTTGTTTTCCTCTGAAAACAAAACATTTAAATCCAGTTTGCATTAAATGATTCACAAGTCAAACAGAGGATCCTAGAGTTCTGAAACTTTGAAAGAATTTCCAGCTCTTCTGACAAGGATTTCATCTTCTTAATTGCTCTAAAGAGCAGGGTTTTTTGCCTTATTTAAATTTCTAGCTCTTATTGCCTGAAAGGGAAGTCATTCCAATAGGAGATATGGTAGTAAGCCACCTTTTCACTGTAAAACCTTTTGCCTATTTTCTCTTGGAGAAAAGATAAACAATTACTGCCTCTTTGTCCCTCTTTTGTCCCTATTATACCACAGACAGCTGATGTTTCCTTGGTAACAAGATAAATTGATTACCAAAATCCTTGGGGATGGTTATAGCCGTGGAAGTTGCTATGGCAACATTACAAAATAAACTTGCTGTTTTCACAACACCTGTTGACATCATAGCCCACAATCAAACCGTTTATCTTAACTCAACACTGAGAAAAATGAGATTTCATGAGTTGGCATTGTGTTAGGTATTAAGGGAGTCTCAGCGAAGAAACAGACCTGGTCTCTGCCCTCAATCAATCAACAAATATATATTAAGCCTGTGTTCTATGGTGACATTGTGTTAAGTTTTGGGGATACAAAGATAAGAATGAAACAGTTCTTTCCCTCAAGAAGCTTACATTCTACTGGGTGGGGACAGCATGTACATATATGAGTAGACCCCAGATATAAACAAAGTAAATAGATAATTTTGGCAGTAGTACAAGGGTTGATAATAGCAGCTGGGAGAATCAGGAAAAGTCTCACATAGGAAATGGCACCTGAGCTGAGCTTTGAAGGGAATAGGGATTCTAAGAGGTGGAGGTGATTCTGAAGTTCTTTGCAGGCATGAGGGCAAATCTGTGCAAACCATGGAGACAGGAGGTAAAATTTCATGTGTGAGTAGCATCAAGGAGCTCCTGCTCCAGTTAGGGAGACAAGACATAAATATGTGAAAAGTCAAATAACAGTATAAGACAAAATAAGAAGGACCCAATGCAAGTGGCAGCACTAGGTGGTGAGGAGAAGCTTCATGGAGGATCTGAACTGAAACTGGGTCTTGAACAAGGAGCAGGAGTTGAATAGACAGTGAGGTATAGGGAGAAGAAGCGAAATGTATGATTATTTTCTTTGTAAAGGTTGGGATGTGAAATCCAAACAAAAGCATAGCACATCCGTTCTAAACCTTTTTCACATGTATCATCTCACTTACCACTTATACAACAACCCTGAGAGAGAGATAAGGCATGAATTATTATCTCACTTCACAAACAAGAAAAGTGAAATCCTGAAATAAGTGATTGGCCCAGGATTTTATAGCTGTATAATTGACACAGAAAGGACTAGAATTCAGGTCTCCTGACTCCCAGTCCTGTGTTCTTCCCTCCATATCATGATGCATTCTTTCTTTCTTCTTAAGTTTTATTGATATTTGGTTTCTACACAACAAATATTTATGAATTGTCTCCATTCATACAAGATCTCCTGTAATAAAGTGAAATAGAGAAGTTAACAGTAATATAGTGACCTCATTGCAGAGTGCATACATTTCATTTGTAGCAGTTCAGTCATTTTTTCAGTCACGTCCAATCCTTTGTGACCCCATTTGGGATTCTCTTGGCAAAGATACTGGAGTGGTTTACCATTTCCTTCTCCAGCTTATTTTACAGATGAGGAACTGAGGCAAACAACAGGGTTAAGTGACTTGCCCAGAGTCACGCAGTTAGTGTTTGAGGCTGGATTTGGACACATGATAATGAGCCTTTCTGATTCTAAGCTCAGTGCTCTATCCACTGTGCCACTTGGCTGCATCTATTTTTTTTTAATTAACAGAAATGCTCCCTTCCATCCCTTTGGGAAAAAAAAACCAAAGAAAATAAAAACAAATTTCTTATAACACACATAGTCTAGCAAAACAAATTCTCTCAATGATACAAATACAAATGCACATATGTCTCATTCTGTATCCTAAATCTGTCATGTCTCTGCAATGACAGCGTGCTTCATAGCTGATCTCCTAGAATCATGGATAGTCATAGTATTGATCGCAGATTTCAAAGCTGTTTGTTTTTACAGTGTTGTTACTGTATAAATTGTTATCCTGGTTCTGCTCATTTTGTTCTTCATCAGTTTATGTTCGTGTTTATATTTATAATATTGATATTGTAGTATAAGTTGTTCTTCTGAGTATTGTTTAGAGTGCTTGCTTCACTCTGTATCAGTTGATATGTCTTTCATGTCTTTTGGAAATCATCTATTCCCTCATTTCTTAAAGTATAATAGTCACCCAATCACATTCATATTGCACAACTTATTTATCTACTTTTCAATTGTAGGATATCCCCTTATTTTCTAGGGGGTTTTTTTGTTTACTAAAAGAGCTGCTATAAATATTTTTGTGCATATAGGACCTTTTCCTCATAAATGATCTCTTTTGGATATAGGCAGTGGTATATCTGCATCACTTCTGAGTTAGGTGTGTTCTAAAAACCAG